GTCATAGTCATTAGTCACCACGTCATTAAACAAGAATAAACGAATATTCTCATATTTATATAATAACATACTAAACTAATCAACGGTATTTATTTGTTATATAAGATAACAAAAAGTTGTGAAAAAATACCATCATGGTCCTCTCTTTTATAAAATAAAATAAAATATGAAAACAAAGTTATGATTATTAACAATATGCTGAATATTGTAATTTTGTAATTAACTTTTTCGTAAACAAGATTAATGGTTGGCTTAAGTTGACACTCAAGTCAAGAAAGAAAGATTTGATTCCAACGTACTATATATATATTCAACCTTGCAATAATCTAACTTGCGATAAACTTTATATAAAGTACTGTAAATTATTTTGTACATTTTCACTACTTGACCGTACAACACATGTCTTTCCTGTCTTCCATTATGTTTATGACGAGTATAAATATACGTGATATCAATAAGTTGTAGAGTATTTGTATAAACAGGAACTTATTAATTATATACATTGCTTTCTTTTGCTTTTGGGTGGAGCCTAAACGAGAGCATTTTATGGGTAATTATTTTAATGTTAGACAATAAACAAATGTAAAAACAAAATATTGTTATTCCGCACTCATGTTGTATCTTTGTTATATGATTTCCAAGTATCTTTCGATTATATATCGAAGTAGACTGAATTTTTTTTAAAAAAAATTAAGCTGTGATAAAATAATGAAAACGACTCTTCCCTTCAATTAAAGGGTAAGATGTCTAAAACTATGAGCTCACTGATGATCAATAATTTGGGTTAGTTAAAGTATATGTAGTCAATAACATAATCAACACATATTTAAAACAAAACAAAAAACCTACAATTGCAAAGCTATTGTTGATTCATCTAGGCTGATAAATCAGATCCCTTCTCTTGAGCGCGATACGTGATTTCGGAAATTAATGTTGGCGAATGAATAACATTGCATGCGTCGTGAAACAATATCAAACGGAGTTAATACCATTACAACGAAATTAATTAGCACGATGCGTGACATGTGAACATAATCGTAATTCGTAAATACATATGTTTGTATATTTGATAGTGCTTGGTTTAGCCTAAATGATTACGTTATTTTTTTATTAGTGTGATTATAACACTCTATATATGGGATTGGGGAGAGTATATATGCGGATCTATTCAAATATTTTATAAACTAAATTTTATTTGTAACATAAATGATTTTACGTAGTGTGTCTCGTTACGATCTAATATATAGATAAGTTGATATAACTTTGCGTATATGTATTTAGTTACGGTTAATTCAAACACATTCTGTTGTAGAAATGTCGTATATAATCTATTGCTGGTTCTACATCTAATAAGATCCTGACCGAGATTTGTAGCTAGTATTTTTTTTTTTTTTGGTAGGAAGATTTGTAGCTAGTATTGATGTCGTATCATATGTTCCAATCCGATATATAGTGTTAGATGACAAAAGTATATAATAAGATTAATGTTTGAATTATAGAAACTTTCCAAATATGAAAAAGTGGGACTTTTGCATTACACATAAAAAGAATTCAAATGGTGTAATCATATCATTCGCACTCTTTGGCACTTTCTCTCCTCCTGATCTTTGCTCACAACCTGAAGTGGAGATTGTCAATTATTAAGGGGTTTTTTGGTAATTTAATAGATTATAAATTTCGTCCGTACACTCCAAGGGTCACTTTCGAGCTACTTCACACTCCCACTTAACCGTTAGGTCAAGCTCCCATCTGGGAGAATCTTTTTGAGATCCATTACCAAAGAATTCAAAAGAGTCCGTACTTTTTCTTTATATATTAATCAAAAGTTTTTCTTAATTTATTTACAATATTTTAGTCCTATGAGAGATTATAGTTTTGCATTAGTGGCTCTGGTTTTGATCATTTGTGAATTGTCCGATATAATTTAGAGATTTTATTCGTTGTTTTATCGAATATTATAAATGTTTTTAGAGTATTTGCGAGTCTTTACATGTTACCATATGAGTCATCGGATTTTATTACCATGCATATTATTCTCATTTTTTCACAATTTTATTTATTCATATCATGATAGGATAAAAGTTAATGCTATTTTACATGTTTTGCAAATGATAACACTATACGAATTGGCTGCACAATTCATGTGATCAACTATGTCTATTTTACATGTTCCTCTGACCAACACTTGACTAACTTAGGTAAGATTTTGTGTTTTCATTCATTAATGCGCTCTTTTATTTGTTTTAAATGGTTTGGGGGTATATGACTCCAAGCATTTGCCCGTTATATATTTATTGTTTTCATATTTTATATTCAGCTAATCAAATGTAAAAGTTACATCACAACTTCGACAAGTGATTGATCGATTTGTTACAATTATAAATGGAAAAGCAAAGAACAGCCAAAAGACAAAAAAATTCTTGTACATATATACTCATATGTTTAAATTTGGATTCAAACTATATACACACTGTAAACTATTTGGTGAATCCGTGAATGAATGATAAAATTAAAATTTAGATTGATGTTGAAAAGGTGAATAATAATACTATAAGAGAAAGAGGGGACCATAAAGATAGATATATCACATGATCTCTCTCTGACTCTGAAATATGGGCCTCAATCTCTCTCCCTCCCCCATTATTTGTCCCTCTAAAATCTTTTGGTTCTTGATAAGTCTTCTCTCAAATTAATGTATAAATGTGTGTGGAATAATTAGTAACTATATGAAAATGAAAGAAATGTAAGTAAGTAATAGTTAGATTACTACTCAAAATATGTAGATTTAGCACATTTAAAAAATGGGATTAATATGAACAAGAACGAAAATTATTGAGCGAGGGTAGGGACCAAGCGAGGAGGAGTTTGTAGACTAGTGACTCAATAAATATGAATTATAGAGGGAAGACTTAATTAGGGGTAATTAGTTCATAGAGTAGACTAGATTAGTAGCTAGGAGCTTTAATGTTCATGTCATTATTCCCATTCCCAATTGTTCATAAGTTTGATCTATACATATTTCCCTTTCATCCATTTTCATTTCTGAAGCAAAATTTGAATTTGAACTTAAATTTTGTGCTACCTAACTTCTCCTTTTCACACTGTTTTTAACTTTTGTTTAGTTTCTTAATTATTTGATTACCTACTTAAGAAAATAAATTACAAAACCAAAAAAATACAAACCCAATTATTATCTTCATCATTATTTACAACCCATGGGCTACAAGGGAAGATGACAGGCTTTGAGATTAAACCCAATAAGGCCACATATTTAATTCTTAAGCTCTCTAAACATTTTGGTTGGGCCTTGTGTAGCCTACCTATCGGCTTAACACGGGCTAAGTTCTCAATATTACTAAATGAGTTTATTGTTTAGCACAATATCGGTTATGCAATATAGCGTCAAATGATTACCCGTTATGCAAACGGAAGGAGTTTGTAAGATTAACAATAAACAACAAACAAACGTCATAAACGGAGCAAAACAAAGAAGAGGAAGATCCGATGTTTAAAAAAGCAAAGCAAACAAAAGATCCAAAAATAAAGAAGTTTCTCAACAAATCTATCCGTGGGACAAAGAGAGAGATTTTACCCAGTAAGGGAATCGAAG